TTGTAGCTAGGTACATTTTTCTTAAAAAAGAAAAAAGACATTTCAACCTCGAGTCCATTAGGTTTAACCTTAAATTTGGATAAATATGTTTAGATTAATAATTATTCATTACTGTTAGTTAGTTAGTTAGTTAGTTAGTTAGTTAGTTAGTTAGTTAGTTAGTTAGTTAGATACTCAAACAACTGTTTTTAACTAACAGTAGCTACAGAATCTCTTCAAATTAGCTATTAGCTTGCTAAAAACGTTTAGCTTGCTAAATGAACCATAGCTCAATTTCAGGAAGCTAATAACTGTTTTAGCAGGCTGCTTTCTACTTTTAATGATTACTAATGAATTATTTCTTATTAGTTTTATTTTCTGTTAAGAATGTTTAGCTTTCCAAATGAACTATATTTAATTTCCTTTAGCTTGTTTCAATTCAGTATGTTTAGAGTAATAATTATTCATTACTGTTAGTTAGTTAGTTAGTTAGTTAGTTAGTTAGTTCGTTAGTTAGTTAGTTAGTTAGTTAGTTAGTTAGTTAGTTAGTTAGTTAGTTAGATACTCAAACAACTGTTTTTAACTAACAGTAGCTACAGAATCTCTTCAAGTTAGTTAATTAGTTAACTTATTTCAGTTAACTTATTTCAGGTAGCTAATAACTGTTTCAGCAGCCTGCTTCACAGATAGACATTTTCTACTTTCAATAATTACTAATTACTGATTTCCTATTAGTTATATCTTTGTTAAGAATGTTTAGCTTTCCAAAGGAACTATGTTTAGATGCTAAAGATGTTTAGCTAGCTAAGTGAACCATAGCTCAATTTCTTTAGGTGTTTATATTTAGTTAACTTATATCAGGTAGCTAATAACTGTTTCAGCAGCCTGCTTCACAGATAGACATTTTTTACTTTCAATAATTACTAATTACTTATTTCCTATTAGTTATATCTTTGTTAAGAATGTTTAGCTTTCTAAAGGAACTATAGCTAATTTACTTTAGCTTATTTTAAGTGGGGAAAAAGACTAATTCAAAGAGTCCCAGAAGCTCTCTGATTGCTAGCTAACCGTGGCTTGTAGCAGGTACATTTTTCTTAAAAAAGAAAAAAGACATTTCAACCTCGAGTCCATTAGGTTTAACCTTAAACCTAGTTAGTTAGTTAGTTAGTTAGTTAGTTAGTTAGTTAGTTAGTTAGTTAGTTAGTTAGATACTCAAACAACTGTTTTTAACTAACAGTAGCTACAGAATCTATTCAAATTAGCTATTAGCTTGCTAAAAACGTTTAGCTTGCTAAATGAACCATAGCTCAATTTCAGGAAGCTAATAACTGTTTTAGCAGGCTGCTTTCTACTTTTAATGATTACTAATGAATTATTTCTTATTAGTTTTATTTTCTGTTAAGAATGTTTAGCTTTCCAAAGGAACTATAGCTAATTTCCTTTAGCTTATTTCAATTCAGTATGTTTAGAGTAATAATTATTCATTACTGTTAGTTAGTTAGTTAGTTAGTTAGTTAGTTAGTTAGTTAGTTAGTTAGTTAGTTAGTTAGTTAG